GCTGGGATTTTGGGGTGTCCCAGTGCCAGCACTCCCAGGAACAGGCTGGGATTTCGGGGTGTGTCAGTGCCAGCGATGCCAGGAACAGGCTGGGATTTTGGGGTGTCCCAGTGCCAGTGATGCCAGGAACAGGCTGGGATTTTGGGGTGTCCCAGTGCCAGCGATGCCGGGAACAGGCTGGGATTTTGGGGTGTCCCAGTGCCAGCGATGCTGGGAACAGGCTGGGATTTTGGGGTGTCCACGGGCTGGGATTTTAGGGTGTTCCAGTGCCAGCACTCCCAGGAACAGGCTGGGATTTTGGGATGTGTCAGTGCCAGTGATACCAGGAATGTGCTGGGATTTTGTGCAGGATCCTGCTCCAGCAGAAGCACAGCTGGCACTGCAGGAGGGCTGAGCCCCCCTGGGATGGGGCTGAGACACTCCCTGACCCACAGGGGACAGGGCTGCTCTCACTCTGGCAGGGGTTTGTTTGTACTATTGCATTTGTATTTTTAATTTTCCCAATAAAGAACTGTTATTTCTATTTCTATTTCTATTTCTATTTCTATTTCTATTTCTATTTCTATTTCTATTTCTATTTCTATTTCTATTTCTATTATTTCTATTCCTATTCCTATTCCTATTCCTATTCCTATTCCTATTCCTATTCCTATTCCTTTTGTTCTGACTCTGGCAGTGGTTTGTTTTTTGGGTTTGACTGACTCTGGCAGTGTTTTTTTTTTGTACTATTGCATTTGTATTTTTAATTTTCCCAGTAAAGAACTGTTATTCCTATCCCCATACCTTTACCTAAGAACCCCTTAACTTCAAAATCATAACAATTCGGAAGGAGGGAATTTACATTTCCCATTTCAGGGGAGGCTCCTGCCTTCCTCAGCCCATACCTGGCTGCTCAAACCAGGTGAGCGCCTTACCTGGCGGCCCAGGTGATGGGGATGCGGTGGGTGGCGTAGACGGTGAAGGCCAGCGGGCAGGTGAGCAGCCGCGCCTCCTGCGCCGCGCCCAGCTCGCGGCTCCCGGGCGCGGCCGTCTGGAAATCGGCGTTGAAGGTGCTGCAGTACAGCTCCACCAGGTTGAGGATGGCGGCCGTGAGGCTCTCCACGATCC